GAGCCAGGGGCTGGGCAGCAGCTGGGGCCTTCATGAAGAGCTGTAGGTGCCTCTTTTGGCAGGAAAATGGCAGGAATTCTTCAAGGCAGAGATACTGGAGAACAGGACTGGGGGAAAGCCAAAAGGGAGAGATTTTTCTTATGTGATCGTGGAATCATAGAATCCTAGGATAGTTTGGGATAGAAAGGCCCTTAAAGATCATCTCATTTCAACCCCTGCCATGGTTGTGGTGATGAGAGAACCTTGGGTGAGCAGAACTACCACCCAGCTGCTCACTTCCCCTAAAACTGGGGGAAAAAAGGGACAAGAAAACTCACGGGCTGGAATAAGATGGGGCATTCACCAATTACTGTCATAGGTTTAAACAGACACAATTTGGGGAAAAATAATTTAATTTATTGCCTTAAAATTTGAGTGGTGGGAAACATCAAACCAGCATGTTTCCTCCTCACTCCCCAGTCCTTTCTCAGATTCAGTTTTGCTTCTTTACTCCATCCCCTAATCAGTCCCCTCCAAAAAAAGTTGTGCAAGGGACATTGAGGGCAGCAGGTCAAGGTCAGCACAGAGTGGTTTCTTCCTCTTCCTCCTTCCTCCTCACCTTTCCTGTGCTCCAGCACGGGAACCCCACAGGCTGCAGCCCTTCAGGAAAACTTCCTGCAGTGCGGTCCCTTCTGGGCTGTGTTTTCATCAGGAATATCCATTTTCCCCTGAGTGGTTCCCCATGGGATGCTGTGTGAGTGTCTACCATGGCATGGTCCCATCCACAGCTGCAGGGAACATCTGCCCTGCTCTGAGTCCTCCTTGGGCTGCAGGGAAAATCTACAGCCCCACTGAGCCCCTCCTGCTCCACCTTGCTGCTCCTCTTTCACTTCTCACTGTGTTCTTTCCTTCCTCCCATCTGGCATCTCCTCCCCTTTCTGAAATGTTTCCAGAGAGGCACCATCAGCTTCACTGGTGGCTCAGCCTTGGCCACAGAGCTGACTGGGACCAGCCCCCTGAGGGGGTTCTGCTGGCTGGGACCCCCCCACTGCACACCTCACCCCCCCAAATCCTTCCTGTGAAAGCCCATGTGGGATGACTGCACCCCCAAATTCAGCCAGGGAAATAGGATGGGAGAGGAACTCAAGGAGAAGGAGGAGTTTCTGGAAGCAGGAGAGGTGTGGGGGGCCCAGCAGGTGCTGCAGGAGGGAAGGGGCTCTGTGGGGAGGGAATTTCCCACACTCCTGTTTTCCAAAGTCTCTGCAACAGCTACCTTAGTGCCAAAGGTTGTTTCTGGGCAGGGATGGAAAAATAATTCAGCTGGAAGGAGCCTGATGGGCATTCTGGCTCTCTGCTGCAGGACAAGCTGTGTAAAACACCTTAGAATGCAGCTTGCCTTGGTTGGCAGTGGAGACAGATGCAGCCAGACTGGGAAACTCAGGACCTGGGCAGATCTTTGTGTTGATCTGCAGCTGAGTGGGGGGAGAGGCCTGAACAGCCCCCAGCCAGCTGTTTGTTTTGGTCATTCCCCATCCCACTGACTCCTGCTCAGAGCTATTCCACAGATTGACCTTTGCAGCCCTTTGGTGTTATGAAACACAAAATCCTTTGGCTACAGTGCCTGCCTGATGTTCCCTCCTGGCTGTGGCTCCCTGGGTCACAGGGATGCCCTGGGAGTAGGAGGGAGAGGCTGCCCTGGAAACCACAACACCTTCTTATGCCCCTTCTGAGGTTTCTCTAAGCTGGGACCCAGTGGAAAACCATTTAATGGAGGCCACTCTCAGGCCCCCCAAGGATGGGTTTAGAAATATCCGGTGTTTGGCTTAATAAGTAAGTTTTAAATCAGAATAGGTCACTTAGAGCTATAACATTGTGTGGTTTAGCAGATGCTTAGCTTTCCTTTCTTGGTCTGAGTAGCTGGATTTGCAGAAGCCTCAAGTCACAAACTCTGAACTCTCACCCAGATGTGCTTTTGGGTGGAATGCAGTTCATTTTTCCAGTAATTTTCCTTGTAGATGGTACAGAGCTGTGTCTGAATGCAGTAGGAGGATAAAGCTGATAACACACTGCTGTTTGAGCTGTTGCTGGGCAATGCTTTCCCTAAATCAGGAAGGGTTTGGGCTCCCAAGCTCTGCTGGCTCAGCAAGTGCTCAGGAAGCACAGAGCAGGAGATAAGGAGGCTCCAGCCACCAGTGGAAGCTGCAACTCCACAAGAAAAGAGAAGTCAATGGGCTGTGTGTGGGGGGACAGCAGGAGTCCAGTAAGGTGTTAGAAGACCCCAGACCAAAAATCACCACTGGAGGTATGAAGAGCATGTGCTCAAACTGTGAGGGTAGAAAAGCCCAGGGATCTCTTTTTTCAGAGGGTCCCTCTGCAGAGACACCCAGCTCAAGCTGCTCCCATTGCTGTAGTACTCCTTTTTTTTTTTTTTTTTTTTTTTCCAGGAATAGGATGTCTGAGACTGTGATGCAGGGAGCCAAGGGCAAAGAAACTTTTTTAACAGTTTGACATCTCAGGTGGGACTCAAGACCACAATCTGGGATCCTTTCCTCTCCAAAGATCCATTACCAGCAATGTGTGAGCTCCCCTGGCACCTTGGGTGTGGGAGGCTGTGGCCATTTAGGAAAGGAATTCTCCAATTTAGTACTCCCATGCTGCCCCTTGCTTCCCTCTCACCCTCCACCTGTGGGTGGCTGAAGAGGACAATTGGAGTCATGAAAGATAAAGATGGTGGGTTGAGATAAGAACAATTTACTGGAAACAGCCATGAGATAAGAAAATGAACAGTAACAGCAACAATACTAAAGACAAAGGGTGTAAGAAACTATTCACTGGGAGAAAAAAACACCCAATAATAGACAATACCCACTTCCTCAACTGAAAGGGATCCCTTTCCCCCTTCTCCCAGAAGAGTCCCTTTCCCTGCTCCCAGCGATTCCACGAGGTGGTACAGTGCAACCTTCAGGTCCTGGTCATGCCCCTTCCAAGCTATTGCAAAAACTAACACTGTCCTGGTCAGAACCAGGACCCAGGCTCCAAAGGATGAGTGTTAAAATTCCATCAGTAGATTTGGTGAAAATACTGGAGTTTCTTTATACTTGGGGCTGGGGGGTTGAACCCCTCTCCTGCTGCTTCCCCAAGCACAGCCTGATCAGCACAAAGCATACAAGGATTTAAATCCCTCTTAATTCCTGAAAATGATGGGAAAATAGACCCAGCACTGAGAAAGGAATGCCTTTAACAGAGGTACTACAAAACTGTGGAGAGAATCTTTGGCACAGCAGGTCTATCAGAAAAGCACACAGATATTTCATATGGAGGAGGCAGCCATTTATAACCAGAGATGGAGCCCCACAGAGCAGTGGCCACTACAAGGGACCTTTGACAGCACAGACTCACATTTCTGAGGCATTGACTGGGTTCCCAGGACAGAGGGATTGTTGGTAGGTGTGGGATAACTGGCCATGTGGCCACCATAAAGAACGTTGGTAGCAAGGACAGAAGGAAACCAGAGTTCCCAGAAATGGAGAATGACAAAACCATGAGGAGCCTGATCTACCCTAATCAGCGAGGAGGTCATTGGCAGCTCCATTCACCAAAATCTGGGCACAGCTCTGGGGCACAGGCACAGGTTCCACTGGATATTATGAACACTGTCAGATTCTGGGCTGCTATTGGAGATACTGGAAGGAAGGGATGGTACTGGGGAGAAAGCCCCTACCTGTGAAGATCTGAAAAAGGAATAGGATGGCAGGATCTCCTGAGGTGCACAGTCCCCTGGATCTGGAATGTGACTGAGTGCACAACCATGCCCTCCTCCTTAGAGAGCATTTATGATGTACTTTATAAATAATATAATATGATATAATATAACATAATATATATAATATATATTATATTGATATATTTTATTATAGTATAGTATATTATATAGTATATAATATAATATAATATATATTTTAATATAATATTATAATATAATATAATATAATATAATTATAATATAATATTATGCTATATTCTATTATATACTATTATATTAATAATTTAATATTATATTAATATAATAGCAGTCTATTATCAACATTTCCAGTTCATAGCATGTTATGGATACCCACATACCACAGCTCCCCATTTTCCACTCTGCAGTACCACTGGAGCCAGGAAATCACCAGCAATCCTCCCTCTGGCTGCATGGCTGGACAGATGCTGTGCTGCTTGTGGAGGGGTGAGGCCTGGCCCATTAATCTGTACTCAGAGAGGCTGGCAGCTGGATTAGTGCTTCAGATGCTCTTAACATCTGCAGCTGCAGGACAGCCCCCAATTCCTCAGCTGGAAGCCGGAGGTAGCAGCAAGGCTGGTAAGAGCTCTTTTGAGGGGTTGGGGATTGAATTGCTGCTGCCAGGTAGATGGATGAGGGAGATTGTATGGCAGATTTTGTGGGAAACATGGTGGTGGTGCTATTACCCTGGCACTCCCAATCGTGTCATGCAGTCCCTTGGCTGTGTGTGGGATTGCCAAGGGTAAGGGGGTGTTGTTGGCTGTGTAGAGGGAACAGGGCAAAGGAGCCTTGCAGGGGGGCTGGAAGGACCCTGTGGAGGAGCCACAGTGAAAATGTGTCAGACCTGAAGGTCTCAAAGCTTCAGTTTCTTGTGTTTAGAGGTGAGGATGGTCAAGAGAAATGGGAGCTCCCAGAGCTTAGGGCTAAACACAAGATGCTGCCAGACCAGAGGCAGAGAGAGGGAAGGTCCTGGTGAGGACTTTTGTGGCTACTGTGCTTTATCTCATAGAATGGTTTGGGTTGGAAGGGGCCTTTAGGACCACCTAGGACCACCTCATTCCAACCCCCATGTCCCCCTATGTCCCCCATGACCCCAAAGCCAGTCTTGTCCCTGCAGCTCTTCTTACCTGAGCTGGGCTTTGTTACCTCTGCTCTGACTGCTTTTTTCCTGCACCAACTGTGTTCTCTCCATCACAGGGGTTTATAAGCCTTTTATTTGTGGGGACCAGCAGCACAGGGGATGAGAAGAGCCTCCTGAGCAGCCATGGAGGGGTTACAGCTGCGGGTAAGGATGCCCTCATGTACCTCCCACTATCCTTCAGAGTGCCTGGCAGAGAAGGAGGAAGAAATCCCAGCTCCATCTCTGTCCTGTGAGCCTGGGAGCTGGGAGTGACTCCCTTGTCTGTCACTGTGGGAGAACTCCAGGAGGCTGTTCAGGATTAAGCCCAGAGAGTGCCTGAGCTCCCGGCTTAGCTCTCCGTGTCCCCTCCCCGTGAGCAGCTCCCCAGGCTGGCTGGAGGCACTCAGGGACTGGCCCTCTCCTGCTTAATCGCCTCCTGTTCAGATGTCAGGAGGAGATGAAGCTGCTATAAATAGATGGTGAAGCCCTCCTGGTTTCAGCTGTGATTCACACACATGGCACAGAAGCATTAGGAAGAATTAACATCCAATCTCTCGGGCACTTTCCTGTGCAAATGCCATGCTGTCCCTGTCACTTAAGCTCCTTTCCCAGGGGAGATCAGCAGCACTCTCTGGAGGGCCTGGATGGGCCAAATGGATGGGGAAAGCCAGAGCAGGACTCCTGGGAAGATAAACCTGGAGCAGGACCCGTGGGGAGAGAAAGGGGGCAGCTCCAGCCGGTGCCAGAGCAGCGCCTGCCCGTGAGGCAGAGCTGCCTTTGGGAGATGCCCAGGGCTCCTGCTGCCCCCTGCCCGGGCTGAGGCTGGCCAGGATGGGGCTGCTCAAGTGCCCACACCCCTGGAGGAAGGACAACAGCCTTTGGGACTGAGGCAGCTCCTGGAGGTGGTACGTGAGGGGCTGGGGGTGTTTCTGGCTCTCCCTAATCCCTGCTGAGCTGTGCCTTGGCTGAGCAACCCTGGTGGGGCAGGACTGTGACCTGGGTGGTCCAATGGGAATCCCCAGATTTTCTCCCCATCTTAATTTTGAAAAGCTCTGGGGAAAAAAATGTATCCTACTGCTAGGCTGTCCCCATGGGAAGCTGTGTGCACTCATTCCTGCAAGTGTTTGCATTCATTTGCATGTGTTTAAGTGCTCGGTGTCCCCCTCCCCCTGCCTTGCTGTGTCTGTGCTGTGAGCTGTGACAGTCACAGAGACAAGGAGTCAGGGAGAAACCAGAGGAAGGTGAGACCAGACAGGTCCTGGAGTGGTTATTGTGAGGAGGGTTTACAGGGATCTATCCATCTGCTTGCCTGACAGTCTCCCAGGTGCAGGGGAAAAGTGGTATTTTTCCTGGAAAGTAGTTTGGAGGGGAGAGCATCTCCCCGGGTGGAGGAATATTTCTCACACCTTTGGGTATCTGATGTCCCATCAATAAGGGAGATCCATATCTCTAATCCATGGCATTGCCAGGGTTTCTTGGCATTCCCACCAGATCACAGGGCAGAGAAGGAAAAACCCCTTTCAGAGCACTCATGATCCACATGAAGTAAAGGGGAGTTTGGACAGAAGGATAGGTTTGACTAAAGATGAGATCAAAGTTGGTATCTTTGTGTCCTCAGTTAGTGGCCCAGGGACTCTGGAGTCCATGAGATGGGGAATAGACCAGAAAATAGTCTTCTCCCCTTGTTCTTTGGCACTCAGGATACAGGGCTTCTCAGTGAAGCAAGGAAAGAGGCAGGAAAATGCTCAGAGGAACTGAAAATTGGTGGAGGAATCAATGTTATTAAGATGGGACTAAATCCAAGGAAGTCACCCATGAGCACTCCAGGGCAGAGGGCCCTGTCCCACTCCTTGCTGTAGGAAAACAGCTCTGGGTGACATCCTTAAACACATGCTGAGCCACAGTGTGAGGGGATTAAAGAGATCTCAGCACAGGCTTTTCCTTGGGTGATGGAATCTCCTGCCTGCTAAGGCCCTGAAGGAGGTTGTTATATCCAAACAAAGATAGGATTGGTGTCAGGATGGAATCCCCCTATTTAGAAACAAGTCACAGGCTGGAACAGGGACCTGGAGTGCTCAGGCAGGCTCAGGTGTGACTGGGTCTGCAGGCATCTGCACAGTCTTAAGCCATCCTTGAATTTTAATTATGTTATGGAAGAGCCTGACATAAGCTGCTTTCAGAAATTCCTATAGGAATGCCTGACCAGGCTGAAGGTTTTCAGGAAAAATTATGATATATTTCTGTTATTATGCAGAAAGTGGAACTGCAACTCAGAGTTCCAGTGAAGGCTGGAAAACCCAGCTGGATCCACAGAACCATGTGTGAGTCTGGGAGAGGCTCTGCAGATTCCCTGGCTGTGAGTGACAAGGCTCAGTTGGTTTGCAGAAGCTTTTGCATGAGCTATCCTGTATCTCCAAACAGGGGGGGAAAAGGCTGTGTGGAAATCTAAAGGGAATATTTCAATCTGTCTATCCTACAAGTGAGTCCAGACAACCTGAAACAGCATAGGAATGTGGAGCATATTGGATGCAAATGGCAGGCCATATGTTTTATAACATTAATTGCCAAACTTTCAAAAGCACCCTCCTGACCTCCTGCAGGCAGTGAAGGAGCACAGCTCAGGCTCAGGCACCTCCTCATTTGTCATCTGTTCCTTGTTTTTCTTCAACATTGATCTGGTTCTCTCACCAACCTGGATGGTCTCCAGTGTTGTGAGAGCTGCACACACTCAAATATCAGGCAGTTTTCCAAAACATGGCATCTGTAAATGCCAAGCTTACAGATGGTACGTGATAGAATGGGATTTACAGGCACAACAGAGAAGGGTAAGGGCAGCACGGAGTGAAAAATTCCATCATTCATCTAGAAAAGCTGGATCTGCTCAGATGGTCTGGCTGGTGGCTGCCATGAACAGATGCTGGACTCTGGAAAAAGGGGCTGGAAAGATATCCAGGAATAAGTCATGGTGATTGAGAAGGGAGGAAGTGAGAGCTGTAACTGAGACTCCTGCCAGGCTGGGATGATGAGCTTCACCTGCAGGGAGGGGAGAAGGCAAAAGGAGTAGTTGGTGCTCCCCAAGAACCAGCAAGGGGAGGACAGTTAATGGCCCACAGAGCTCACTGAAAGTCAGGAAGTAATTTCTGGATCCAGTTACCCCAACAGGGGCTGGTCTGCCCTGCCCTGGTGCAGGAATGTTACTGAAATTATCCCAGAATAGTTTGGGTTGAAGAGACCTTAAAGCTCATCCCATTCTACCCCATGCCATGGGCAGGGACACTTCCACCAGACCAGGTGAGTCCTGTCCCTGCAGCAGCTTTGTTCTCCAGCACAGGGGCCTCTCTCCCAGCAGGTGTTTGCTCTCTCCTAGCCCATTCCTTTTCCATTCCCAGCAGGCACCCTGCAGCCGGAGCTTCCTCAAGCTCACTGCCATGGAGCTGAAGTGGATCCATGTCTTGGTCGTGTTCCTCCTCCTGCTGTCCGTGGCCATGACCGGCTGCTTCCTGTGGCAGTACAGCCTCCCCAAGGTGGAGCCCAGTGAGTAGGGGGTTTAACCTTGGTCATGGTGTGCCACAGAGATTTGGAAGACTAATAAAAGCTTTCTTCCCAAAGAGCACTCCCCCAAAGAGAAATTTCTCCAGAGAGGAATAAGGCAAGGCCACAGAGGAGGTGAAGGCTGGGTCGATGGAGGCACCGCATCACTCTGCTGCTGTCCAAAGAAGCTCCATCACTCCTGGCCTAGGTTTGGATAGGATGGGGCTGTTGAAGTGCTAAAGAGGCATTTTATTTTAGATTATTTATCTTTTATTTTTCCTGTTGTTACTCCAGTTAGTTACTCCAGTTTAGAAACAGGTTTTTTTATATCTTACCATCTGCTTCAGGGTTTGCTCTTTTTCCTGTTCCCCAAATCTTTGCCCTGGCTTAAGCCCTCTGGTTCACATTAGAATTCATTGAATCACAGAATCATAGAAAGGTTTGTGCTGGAAGGGACCTTAAAGCCCATTCTGCTCCACCCCTGCCTTGGGCAGCAACATCTTCCACAATCCCATGTTGCCCCAAGCCCCATCCAGCCTGGCCTTGGACACATCCAGGGGCAGCCACAGCTTCTCTGGGCACCCTGTGCCAGGACCTCAGCATCCCCCCTCACAGCCAGGAATCCCTTCCCAATATCCCATCCATCCCTGCCCTCTGGCAGTGGGAAGCCATTCCCCTTGTCCTGTTACTACATCCCTTGTCCCAGGTCCCTCTCTTGCTTTCCTAGAGCCCCTTTAGGGCCTGGGAGGGACTCTAAAGTCTCCCTGGATCCTTATCTTCTCCAGGAGAACGCCCCCAACTCTCCCAGCCTGGCTCCAGAGGGGCTCCAGCCCATGGAGCATCTCCATGGCTTCTTCTGTTGATTATAGGAAACTCAACTGATCCACTCAAGGCACTGCATGAACAAGGATTGAATATACACAGTGTCAATGGATCAGAGTTTTAAGTAGCTGAAAGTTGTCATAAAATCCACTATGAAGGTGCTACAAGTATTTCAGAGACCAAGGGTTGAGAAGGTTTCAAACTACACATTTTTATCTCAGAGTACCGGACTGCCTGTAGGCTGTGTGTATCCATGCCTGTCCATCTCCAAGATTTCCATTTCTCTCCTAATCCAAATTTCGAATGCTTCATGTTCACCTGCAAGAAGGTGGCATTTTGTCCCCAGCTGTCAGAGCAGGGTATCTGTATTTATGAACATCTTGGGATCAGCTGGGAAAATAGTGCCTCCAAGTAAGGGAGGTCCCATCTCTCTCAAAGTTTAAAGATCTTTGCTGGCCACAAAAATTTAAGCTGTCTGTGGGATATGGAGGATGCAGCTGATTCAGGAGACAATGGAGTGGGCGTGGGGCCTACCAAGTGTGGTAGTGCTGGATTTCAGGTGGCACTCACAGGTCACTCCTGGCCCCATTTCTGAGGTTATGATACAGGGATGACTCTTTGCCACTGCTGTCCTGAACCCCAGCTCATACTTTCCTTTAGACATGGGCAGGCCCTTCCAGGGGGCTAAACCCACTGCCAGGCACTCCAGAGTCTTCTGCAGCCCCAGTTCTTTACTGTCCCAAGTTGCAGAGTTAGTTGAAGTACATCCTGTGTCCATCCCATGTTTGAATAAGCAATAACAGGGCACAGTGCCCTGCCAGCCCTGTTTTACATCAGACAGAAATAATTCAGCAATGTCCTTTCCCTGTACAGAAATATCCCTTAGGCCAACACAAGCAAGAAAGCTCATGGGGGTTGCTGGGTGAGGTTCAAGCTTGCCCATGTGTCAGCTGAGGTCACCTGTGTCACCCTGGACTGTTTTCCAGATCCATCCGTGATGGAGGTGAGGTCAGAAGCTGTGCAGATGTGTCCCCGCTACCCTGAGCCAGTGCCACTGGACCACCCCCTCCCCATCCTGAAGGAAGCACTGGAGAAGGTCTGTGGGGAGGAGGGAGCAGAGGGACAAACAGCTCTGGGCTGCTCTTCTCCAGGGGAGATGGAGGATTTTGCCATCCTGGGGAAGGAGGTGGGGAATTGAGGAGGGGGAGAACATGCAAACCTAGAGATGGGTGTGTGAACTCCTTCAGGGAGCAGTTCTCTTGCTCAGAGGGTGAGCTGGGATGGACAAACATCATCACTGGTCCATCAGAAGGTATGGTGAGCTTCCACCAGCAAAAAATAATGGCTCTTTGCATCTGGTCCAGTATTAGGCAGCCCTCATGTCCTGGAGAGTACCTGGCTCAGGTGCTCTCTGGTTCCAATTCATCAGCCAGGACCAAATTTTCTTTCTTTGCTGGCTTTCCCCACAGCCCTGTTTAAAAATTAAAAAGATGCTTATACATAATTCCAGGGAAGGGAGTGGAGGGGAAAGGAAGGAGGAAGGGGAAAGGGAAGGGGAAGGGGAAGAGGAAAGGGGAAGGGGAAGGTCTGCATCTGTCTGGAAGAGGGTGTGATACACCATCATGATATTCTCAGTATGAGATGGATCTGACATTTTAGCACTGCCTGAACTTCTGGCAGGCTCCATGAGCTCTGAGGAAATACTGCAGCATTGCTCTGACTGTCTGGACCATAAGAATAATCATGCTCTGACAGGACATTCCTTATTTTTAGCCCCTCTCACGTGGTCTCTCACTTGTCTCCTTCTCACAAGTAGAGGGCAATCAGCACTGTAAACAATATTCAACGTGCAAGTGAATCAGGGATTTATACAGTGAAAAAAATATGTTTTCTGTTGTATTTTATGTTACTTCTCTAATAATGCCTCCTATTTTATTTGCCTTTTTTTCTGCCTTAAGGCACTGAGCAAATGTTTCCATAGGAACATCCACCACAGCCCTGAGGTCCCGCTGCTGAGAGCTCAGGACTAGGTTTGGGCAGTTTCCCTGCACACACATGGCTTTATCCAGACTGAATTTAAATTCCCACCACTTCACATCCACTTTTATGAAGTCTCTGCCTGTCTGCAGGTCCAGGCAGGTCTAAAGGTCAGACTCTGAGAAAAGGAGGACCATGATTGTTGACATGAATCTTAGACTGACAAGGGTTGGAAGAGACCTCAAAGCTCACCCAGTGCCACCCCTGCCATGGCAGGGACACTTTCCACTGTCCCAGGCTGCTCCCAGCCCCATCCAGCCTGGCCTTGGGCACTGCCAGGGATCCAGGGGCAGCCACAGATGCTCTGGGCACCCTGTGCCAGGGCCTGCCCACCCTCACAGGGAACAATTCCTTCCCAATATCCCATCTAACCCTGCTCTCAGTGCACTTCCCCTGGCCATTCAGTGAAGAGATCCCAAGGACATGACTCAGTTTGGCTTTTCTTACCTCACATTCTGGGTCTGGAAGTGCATTTCTTATGTCTTAATCATGGTGTGCAAAACAAAACGTGTGCCTGAAAATGCAAATGATGTGTGCAAGATGATGACATAGCTTTGAAAAAGTCCCAAAAGGACAAGACTGATGCATTCTGCTTGCAGGAGGTGGGTGCAGAGCTGATGAGGAGCTCTGTACAGCTCAGTGAAGAGTTCTGCACAGCCCTGGTACAACAGGGAGCCAGGAGCAATCACAGCCCTTCAGCTGCTCAGAGCTGTTTCTCAGGTTGTGGTTTAAACAGAAGCCTGTGGGAAATAGTAAAGGAAAAAGGTTTCTAGAAAACTGGGAAGAGTAGGCTTTAGAAATAGAAAGAACAGAAAACTTAGAGTTAAGTTGTAGCTGTAAAGTCTGAAAGTAGAAAAAGTTAAAATTGTATAGCAAGCAAGGACACTAAACAATAGCTTGAATCTTAGGTTTGGTTAAGATAGACCTCAAGACTGTAGGAAAGTATGTTTAGCAAGACAGTAGAAGGATTTAAGCTTAGTAATGGAGCATTGTGTATTGTTAATAGAAAGAAGACAAGCAAGCATTTTGTGAAGTAGGTGTATGTGTACTTTTAGTAATTGGCTGAAACAATTGTCTGTAAGCTTTAGCAATATGCTATTGGCTAGAAAGTCCTATAACAAAGAAATCTTTGGTTGTTGCTGGCTGTATGTGAGCTTTGCCATCTTTGTATTGTCTCAGCCATGTAATGCGGCTGATGCTGCAAATAAAGCTCAAGGAACGTATCCCAGCAGTTCTGTCCCATTCATGAATGAAAGAGAAAAAATAAGAACCCAAGCTCCAGAGTGTTTCATGGAATGGGAATTGTCATGGGATATCTGAAAAACCTTTTTCTCATACATCTTTTACCCTAAAATACCAGTGCAAAGAACAGATGTGTAGAATACAAATTTTAAAAGAAGAAATTGCAATTATTACATGTTGATATTTGGTTTTAGTCATAAATATTACAAGCATAAGCACCACATTCATCTACACAGTGGATATGTAGACTGAAAAAGGACATGGGATAATTCAACAGAAGCAATTCTAGAAGAAACAGATAAACAGTTAAAATACATTTTTTTCCAGAACACCGTTCATAGGATCACTCTCAAGTGCTTGGGAGTGATGAGGGTGGGTGATCTGAGCCTTCTATTGCTTGGTACAGAGTGGATGCATTGTAAGACTCTTGTTTTGGGAGCTCATGGTTTCCCTCTCTGCCCAGGTGGACCAGATGCTGCGGCAGAAGATGCACAGCTCCGGGCTCCCGGCCATGTCGGCCATCGCCATCTACAACGACACCGTGCTCTGGACGGGCAACTTCGGCAAGAGGAACGCCTCCGACCCTGCCTCGGGGGCGCCCAACGAGTACACCATCTACAGGTGAGGCACCTGGCACAGTGTGAGAGCCAGGAAAGGGCAAACACACCTATGGAGAGCTGCTGCCTCTTGTATTTACAGGGACCCCCATGGCAGGGAGGAATGATGCATCTGACTCCATGTTCTCTGAAGGCTAATTTGTAATTTTTTTATGATACTATATTATATAAAAGAATATTAAACTAAAATATAATCAACTATACTAAAGAATATAGAAAGGATACTTACAGAAGGATAAAAGATAATGAAACTTGTGACTCTCTCTCCAGAGTCTGACACAGCTTGGCCATAATTGGCCAATAAGTCAAAATAATTCACAGCAGAAACCAATGAAACAATCACCTGTTGGATAAACAATCAACAAACCACATTCCAAAGCAGCAAAACACAGGAGAAGCAAATGAGGTAATACTGTTTTTCTTTTTCTCTGAGGATTTTCAGCTTCCCAGGAGAAGAATCCTGGACAAGGGGATTTTTCCAGAAAATATGATGGTGACAGGCACCTGCAATAGAGACACCATCACAAACTGCAGGTCCACACAGGAAACTCTGCTGGCTTATAATGGAACTTTGTGGGACAAAGAGAATTCCCAGATTGTTACATGCTGGTGGCTTACTGAGTTACTTTGGATTTATTTATGTATTTTTTCATTTAATTCTGGTAATATTTTAAATTGGAATAGCAATGACCCTAAAGAACCTGAAAATATGCTGTTCCTTACATGGGAATGGCTTCATGTCCAGGGCACAAACCTGAAGACCAAGAGCTGGCACAGATTTGGAGAGCAGAGAAAAGACAGTGCCACAGGATTCAAAAAAATAATAATAAATGATGGTTAAGGAAAAACTGATGTTTGGGATGAATATCTGCAGAACGCATAAAGCAGACCCATAAGTTTATTTATTGTTCCAGTGAAGTCAAATTCATATTGGCTGTTATTTTTTAGGTTAAGACAGAATAAAGTTCTTAATGTGTGCTAAAAACCAAAAAAACCAAGATGAAGGAAACGCTTCCTTCCTCTAAAGTGCAATTTTCAGTGAATTGTTCCGTGTTATCTAAGAAACATAGGCTGTGCTCTGAGCATAGACTTTTGTCCTCGGAATGAACAATTTTGGACAGCTTCAGCAGCTGGGATTATCTGTTTCTTCCCCAGCTGTATAATGGAAAAATGACCTGCTGCTATTTTTCCTCCATTGAATTATCTGGGTTGGAAGGGACATTCAAGGCCAGGTTCCAACCCCCTGCCTTGGGGCAGGAGTCAGGGCCACGTCCCCGGGTGGGCTCGAACCACCAACCTCTCGGTTAACAGCCGAACGCGCTGACCAATTGCGCCACAGGGACGGCCTGGATGCCCACAAAAACTGTGGAAATCTGGCATTTAGGGACAGTTTGGGAGCTCTGGGTAAATGATCCAACTCAATGATCTGAAAGGTCTTTTCCAACCTAAATGATTCTGTGATTTTAACCTTAAAATTCCAATAAACTACATGAGAGTGTTTATGGTATTTACTAACCAGTAATTTACTATTTATGTCTTTTTATAAATGCCAAGTGAATAGAAAGAGATCAGCAGCCCACTGCACTGCTGGAGACATTCAGAGGTTATGTTGCAGCCTATAAAGATTCACTTTTAAGGATATTAATTCAAACTTCCTACCTGTATTTTAGCCATTCCCTCTGGAATGAGAAAAGGTGTAACACGTAAAATCACAGTGATCTCTTCTTTCCTCTTGATTCATGGGCTTCTTAATGCTAAATTTCTCCAAATGTTTCTTCCCTAACAGAATTGCCAGTGTCTCCAAGATCTTCCCCACCATTATGTTGTACAAGATGTGGGAGGAAGGAAAAGTCACATCCCTTGATGACCCCTTGGAGCGTTATGCCCAGAACTTCGTTATCAAGAACCCTCTGGGGAGGCTCAAGGACTCAGAGCAGAGATACACAGCAGATGGCCTGGTGTTTTTGGAAAAAGGCTCGGTGCCCCTGAAGCCATCCCTGGTCACCCTGCGCAGAATGGCCAGTCAGCTCTCAGGTGAGGCAGCTCCCTGAGTGTCCCTGGGCCTCTCTGCCCTGGAAAGACACCTCAGAGAGAGCAGACCATATTCCAGGAATACAAAGGAGCTGCTGGGAGGCTGTTTCCCAGTCTGGACCCTGCACTGTGCATTTCCCAGGGATCAGGCAGGGCTCTGGGAAGCCGGGTGTCAGCAATGTCATGGAGTGCTCCAAGGGAACTCTTGTCCAGGACACCTGCCAGGAAAGGGGCTGAGATGAGGTTTTTTCCTCTGCAAGGTGAACACAGATTCCTTTCAGGTGAACACAGATTCCTTTTTCCTCACTACCATGACTTGAAATCAGGTTCCAACTGCACAAGAGTATTTTGTACTCCAGCCCTGAGCACTCTCATTTTTCTGAGATGTAGAGTTGAGGGTCAAATCCCTTTGCTTTGAATAGAAAGACCTTGATTGCTGAGCTAAATTTAGCTGTCAGTGTGGTTCCTGATCCGGGATTCCTGAGCTATTTATAGCTTGGCATTTGCTGTCAGAGAAGTGTTAATCTGCTGCTACCTTTAGAATTGGGGAACTCATACATCAAGGGAGAAGGAGCTCACAGCACTAAGAACTTTACCCTTTCTCTGAAACAAAGCTGCTAATACTTGACCGAGGGATTACAAAAAGTAATGGCCAAAGAGATTGATATCACATGTGGTATTTTGGTCAATCTCTGTAACACTTGCATTTTTCTTGATTAGAATAAATGCCCTAAAATTAGGACCTAAAATCAAAATACCACGGCTGCAACTTGCAGGACCTCAGGATGGGGTACGGCATCATCTGAAGAAAGCCAATATCAAAATGAGGGCTCCCCAAAATGGAATGATACTGAAACCTGGAAAGAAGCAGATAAACAACCCAAAGTGGCCAGTGGCCACATCCCTGCCCAGCCCCTCTCCCTGCAGACAAGGTGTGGCTCCATCCAGCCTGATGTTGTCTTCAGGGGAACCAATTCTGCCTGGTCCCCTCTGACTATCCTGAGCACCTGAAGCTGCTCTGACTGCTCCTGTCACCCAAGGAGGTGTGATGTGCACCCCAGAAATGTTGTAAGGAGCATTAGTCAAGAGAGTACCTGGTTGTGGCATAATTGCTTGTACTGTGCAGCCCTTCCATTGCTTCCATCACTGTGTTAGATTTGTGCCCCTGCTCAGCTCCTTTTATGCTCCTGTGTATTTTTGGATTTTAGAATGTGGCCCAAATTTCCCAGAGCACCCCCAGAGGACACACCAACCCTTGGACCCTGACAATTCAGCAGAAGGAGGTGTACAGTTTCAAAATCCCAACTGCAAATCAAAGGAATGTTCCAGTTCCACTTTCCGTTTGCTGTGTGTCAAACCCCAAAAAGGAATAAGTTCTGCTTAGCACTGGGATCAAAGCCACTGCATGACACATTGTAAAGTGGTTTTCATCTAAATTCTTCCAGTGAAACTGATCTGTAATAGATCCTCATTATCTGGTCTCTCCATTGCATATTACAGAAGTAACTCCAAAGGTTTTTCTCCTCAGCCCTCGATGGGCCCGTTGCTGGAGGGAAGCTCCAGCTTGTTAAGACCGTGATTTTCCAGTCCACACGAATGACAGGATGGGATGTGATTGTAAATTATTAACAACGTGCTTGTCACTTCAATTAGCAGCCCATGAGGTAGAAATCAATGACTCTGGATTATTTTATGCTCTGGTTTATCATTTCCAATGAACCTCAAGGAGACACTGCACTGCTGTCACAGAGCTGGTGAACTCTGCCACTGCTCCAACATTTTGTTTGCTGTCACTGGGGCAAGTACATAATGAAGGAGCCCATTGTCCACTGGAAGACGTCTGCATCTCTTATCTGTTCGTGCAGCTGCACAAATAACCCCAGAGCAGGGGGCAGAACAGTGCTCTCACTCCAGCTCAAATGCCGAGTTCAGGCCAGCTGAGAAAAACAAGTGTTGCTGCCAAAAAAGAATGGGGCTTCATTGAGCCTTGCCAGGATGCAGGACAAGAGGAAAAGGCCTCAAGTTCCACCAAGGGATGCTTAGATCACATATTAGGAAACAAATTTTCAGAGGAAGGGTTGTAAAGCATTGGCAAAAATTGCTCAGGGAAGTAGTGGAATCACCATTCTGGATGGCATTAAAAAAATGTGAGAAGTGGCACTTGGGGACATGGGTTCGTGGTGGAGAGGACAGTGCTGGGTTAATGGTTGGATTCCATGATCCTGGAGGGCTTTTCCAATCGTAGTGAATCCATGATTAAGACATGATCACTGAGCACACGATTGTGAGTCATTTTTCTGTCAAAAACATACATTTCCCAATTTCCTCCCAAACATCCACATTGAAGCCCATTGCAAATGGCAGCAAGGATTCCATTCCAAAAGTTATCCAAGTTCTGGCCTAGGCAAGCCATAGATCCTGTGCAGAGGAGCTGGGTGATTAAAAAGTACTGACCAAAAAATTTTAGGGAATCCATGTTCAGTGAGGAATGAAAAGAACTTGATATTTTCTGCATTTAGAAACCCTGAATAATTAAAAGTGGAAAGAAGCCTGTTTTTTTTACATTCAGAAACCCTGAATAAATGATACTAAAGATGAGGGGGAAGATAAAAATATTTTAGGCCAAGCCTGGAGTTTTCCAGAGAAGCTTAGGCCTTCTGTGGTGAAGTGTAAAGAATGAAATCCTGTTAAAAGGAGCTGTTACACACATTTGAAGTCCAGGGAATGCAGTCATGTGGAAATACAGGGATTTCCTAACACCCTATTTGCCCCTCTCTTCCAAACCACACTTGGAGATCCAGGATAATTTCCATCATTCCTCAAGGTGTTTTCACTGAGATGCAGCAGCCCAGAGTTGATGTTGGCTGGACCTATGTAAGGCAGAGTCAGGATCCATGACTTGATGCCATGTCCTGCAGTCAGGAGTCCTTGATGCCATGTCCTGCAGTCAGGAGTCCTTGATGCCATGTCCTGCAGCCCAGCAGGAGCAGCTCCTGGCTGTGTTTCCAGAGCTTTCATGTCCACCACTGGTGCTTCCATTTTGCCATTGAATCTTGCCTTTGTTCTGTCCTCACCAGAGGCATCATTTTCATGATTTCTCTCTCTCTGTGGCCCAGGTCTGCCCAGGAGGCTGCGATCCACCAGCCTGCTCTGGAAGGGCAGCACTCAGGATGCCCTCACGCTGCTCAAAGACGACGTCCTGGTGGCTGACCCAGGAACCAGGTCAGACACGTTCCTTTAGGAGCTTTTGGTCTGGATCAGGGTTCCCCACCCTCAGCCCCATCCCCAGCCTCCATGGCTGGTGGATAAAGGCAGCTATTCCCAAAGGGAGCTTCAGCCATCTCCCCACACTCCTGGCAGTGGCTGGGAAAAAGACTGTTGGGGGTGTCAGGGTTGGGTTTGGTGTTTTAAGCCTAGATGAGCCAAATTAAACTACTATAGTTCACTTTATGAGCCTTAAATGATGCAGGTTTTCAAAAGTGGAAAGGGACTTTGTTTTAAATGGTTTAAATCATCACAGGTTTCAGGTAAAATCATGCCTGGGGTGAATTGTGTGTCTCTAAATTATCAAAAAGGTCTATGAATGCTTGTTTCAATTCCTGTATCCTGTTAAAAGTCTGTTACCTGGGTTGCAACCACTCAAAAATATAATGAAATCATAGAATCCCAGACTGATTTGGGTTGGAAAGGACCTTAAAGATAATTTTTCTCCCGCCCTCTGCCATGGGCAGGGACACCTTCCACTATCCCAGGTTGCTCTAAGCCCTGTCCAACCCAGCCTTGGACACTTCCCCACAACCTTCAACAGGATCCAGTGGACAACAGATGAGGGAAAGGATTCAAACTAACTGGGAAGAAACTTTCTAAGGCTGCAAAATTGTTTGGTAATTAATTACACCCTGAAATAATTTACCCAGGATGGCTGAGGATCCACCACTCACTTTTGTTAGTTCTGTCCCATGTCATGTAGGAGGCTACAACAGATATTCCTTAAAGGATTTTTGGATTTTAATACCATCATCTTCTTTGGATTTTTATCTTAATTGTAACTTATCTCCATTGGTATCTTTATTTTATGATCCCCCTGAAGATAAATAAGGACATCCCCTCACAGTCTCTCAATTTCTTATTAATTGATATGTTGGTAGTTTTCACTCTCTCTCCTTGTTCCTGGTTATGCTTCCCAGCTAACAGATAATTCTTCCCAAAGGAAGTTCACATTCACTGATACAGATGTTTTAACATATTTTTCTGTGTTGAAATTCAGCTCCATTTCAGATACAAGGTTTTACATACAGAATGTGATTGTTCTTAGGGTAAGAATATATATGCTCACCATGCTTTTATTCAACTAAATGGGCTGGAAAAGGTTGAAGTGGTACCAAATTTATGATCTAAATAGGTCTCAATGAGATGTGTGGCTCCACACAATTAAAAAAACCAACAGGGTTGAAAATTTAATGAATTTTGAAAATGCGTTTTTAAAAAATGCCCCTTCATGTTTTCATGCCATTAAACTTCATTCAACTCTGAAGACATAAATCACTTGATGGTTATTAAAGACTGGCGTACTCAAGTTTCTTTAATGATTCCACATTGCTGGATGCTGCTTTGTGGGCTTTTAAGTGCTCTTTAAGTGCTTTTACCATCTTAAGGTAGCTTAGGTATCTAAGTGATTATCCCATGGCAAATCCCCAAAGAGGTTTATGCAGGATTTTGAGACCTTTAAGGTGAGCACCTGGAACTCCCCATGCTGCTCTTAAAAATAATGGATGGTGAACAATTATAAACAGCAAGTCAGGCTATGCAAATATAGAGGAGTTGTTTCTTTTCCATCTACTGCTCTCTCTGTACATCAGGGTTAAACAGCTCTGCTGATGTTCCCGTAAAACATTTCTCTTTCTTGATTTAACAACAAATCATGGCAACAACATGCAGCTTTTCTTGTGGGAATCCATAAAATCAGAGGGTTTTGGGAAAGCTGGAAAAGGCAGGCTTCAGAGACAGCAGAACTATGTTTAGAGCTAAGCAGTAGCCATGAGATAGGTCAGCAGAAAAATTATGGAAAAAGTAGAAAAGCAAGGACAAATAGAACAATGGTCTGTGTATTAACGGTTGTCTAGAATAACTCCCTAAGCTGCAGAAAAATATATCTAGCAAGATATTTGGAAGTTCTAAGCTTAATAATGGAGCTCTGTGCATTGTGTTTTAAGGCTTACAAGCAGGTATTGTATTCAAAATAAGCAAGCATTGTTTTAATCAAAGGTACCTGTGCTTATAGTGGTTGGATGGAACTACTGTCAATATGCTTTTGGTTTGTGTGATGGATCAAAAACTTTAAAGTAAGTTGTAACATTAAGTTCTTGGTCTGATGCCTGGGATGTGAACTGCTGGCATCTTCCCATTGTCATCACCATGTAATGAGACTGATTCTGGAAAATAAAACAGCTCAAGGCACGTCCCTCAGCAGTCCCATCCTGTTCATGATTTGTACATAGCCCCCAGCCGGTGATATTTCTCTGTCTCCCCTTCATCTGCCATTCCATAAAATGTGAATTTTTCCCTAAAGAAGAGAGACCCAGCCACTGATTTTGCATATCACTGATGAACAGCTGATCCCAATATATTCCTCTTCCTTCCAGATGCCACTACAGCAACCTGGCCTTCTCCCTGATGGCCCACGTGCTGGCTGAGCACGCGGCCGATGGGCAGTACCAGCGCTGGATCTCGGAGAACATCCTGGAGCGCCTGGGCATGGAGGACACGGGCTTCGACATCACGGCGCCCGTCCGCTCCCAGATGGCCGTGGGCTTCTACGGCAGCCAGCAGCCAGCCCCGCTCTACGACCTGGGCTGGTACCGGCCCTCTGGCCAGATGTACTCCACGGCTGCCGACCTGGCCAAGCTGGCCATGGTCTTCCTGGGCACTTACCACCGCCGGCTGCTCGAGCCCGACACGGTGAAGACAATGCTGACACCCCTGCTGAAATGCTCTGTGGATTACTTTGCTAACAAGACAGGCACACCCTGGGAGATCAACGAGCAGTTGGGATATGATGTCATCAGGAAGGATGGGGACCTTGATGGTTACTCAGCAACCTTCTCTCTCATCCCCAAGCTCCGCCTGAGCTTCATTGTGCTGATGGCAGGGCCCAGACCACAGGGTGGGGACATTGTGACTCAGACGTACGAGTATCTCATCCCTGCCATGGAAACAGCATTCAGAGAGGCTGACAAAAGCTTGGTTCCTCCTCCAAACCCAATCCCTTATGTTGGCTACTACACCTATTCCAACCTGACTTTCTATGAGATCAAAGTTGGAATTGGTGGGGTGCTGCTCATGCAGCAGTTTGGGCCTCACGTGGAAGAGCTGATCCCTGAAAAGTATCGGACAATCAAGCTCCACCACCTGGAAGATCGCGTTTTCCAAGTCGTTTTTGACAAGGAGTTCCCATGTGTTCTGCACCTGGGCTCTGCCTCCATCTCACTGGAGACACAGAATGGGCAGCTCTTTAACTTCTACCCCTTCGACCGCAAGGGTTTGTCCCCTGGCTTTGATGCCCCGGGCCTGAACACCTACAACGTGGTGCGTGTCCTGCGCAAGCCCGTGTTCTACAGCTAAACATTCCATGCTCTTCCCTCCACTCCTGGGAGCTGGCTCCAAATCTGTGTCTTACCAGACTCTCCTGCCTCTGTGGCATTGTGGATGCCATTCAAAAGGGAAGGATGGAGGCAAATGACTCTTTTGCCAAACAAATCCTTCCCATTTTTAAGATTACTTTAATGACTTGTCATTGGCTCCCAGCAGTGCACAGCAGGCCTGCTGGCACCTGGACACACCTGCAGGAAAAAGAAATGGGAATGTGCTGGATGGATGTGTTTGGATGCCATAAAAAAAGCTAGGCACTAAAGTGTCCACTCTTATTTTATCTGTTTGATGACTACTGTGGTGATCAACTACTATCATCAAAGGGCTGAGAACTCCCTGGTTCTCTCAGAAAATGTCTCTTTGGCAGTCTAAGGATTTTTCCGGGGCTTTTCAAGAGCCTGTCTATCACAAACAAGATCCCTTACCTGGGTTTGCCGAAAGCATTACGTGCTAAAAAATGGCGCCAGTCTGACACCAGGCCCTGCTTGGGATCCCTGGGGAGTGAGGGTCTGTTTCTTTCCTGGATCATAAACTTTTAAAAGTGCAGAGCAGTGTGGTTCTGTCTTGGCTTCTTGGCTGGTCCTTCAAAGGATGTGGGAACAGTGTAGAAGCTGAAGGTCACTGCTGGGCGTAGGGGCACAGGAACATAAGGTGGGATGTTCCAGCTGGACTCAGCTCTGTAATGGTGTCAATATCCAGGAAAGTGTGTGACCATGGTGTGGAAATTCAGGAATCATGGGAACACTTCGGTATGTTTTGGGCAGGATGTCTGGATACAAACGTACCCACTGGGTTTCTGCAGCTGGGAGTGAAGATCTGGGGGAAAGTGCATCAGCCTGGGGAGCACCACCTTGGTGACAGTGCCCCTGCACCTGCAGAGTCACTGGTGCATTTTGTTATCTCTTCCTGTGCCCACGCCATGCCAAGGCAGGCAGGACAGCGAAATGGGTCACACCAACCCCAGGCAGTGCTCCAGGTATGGGCAGAGTGCCTGGACTCCTGCCCAGGAGGTGCTGGTGACAGTGGCTGAACATGAGCACAGGTGTGCCCAGGTGGCCAAGAAAACCAACAGCACCTGGCCTGTCCCAGCCATGGTGCGACCACAGGACCAGGGCAGTGATTGTCCCCCTGTGCTGGGCACTGCTGAGGCCCCACCTCGAATCCTAGGTCAGTTCTGGGCTCCTCATGACAGGAAAGCCCCATTGAGGGGCTGGAGTGTGTCCAGAGAAGGGAATAGAGCTGGGAAAGGGTCTGGGACACCAGGAGCAGCTGAGGGAGCTGGGAAAGGGCTCAGCCTGGAGAAAAGGAGGCTCAGGGGGGACCTTGTGGCTCTGCACAACTCCTGACAGGAGGGGACATCCGGGGGTTCAGGCTCTGCTCCCAGGGAACAGGGACAGGAGGAGAGGAAGCACCTTCAAGTTGCACCAACAGAAATGTAGGTTGGATATTTGGAAATGTTTTTCTCAGAAAGAGTGTTGGAATTGGAATGGGGCAGTGGTAGAGCTACCATCTCTGGAGGTGTTCAAAAGATGTGTGAATGTGGCACCTGGGGTCATGTGTAGAGGTGGCCCTGGCAGTGGTGGAGGAACAGTTGGACTCAATGACCTTGAAGATCTGTTCCAGCTTCAGTAAATCAATGGTTCTGTGCTGTCAATGGCCAATACCACCTCTCTGTGATGAGGACAATGTCAGACATGAGGACAGACAGGACCATCACAACTGCACAGTCCTGGCTCCTCTATGCCTCTCCAAAATTAGGGAATTTTATGGTTTCAGCCCTGGGTGGAGCTGAAATAAAAGCAAGCAGAGGGGCAGGGCAGGATAGTTCTGACCTTAAAGAGCATATCCAAACTGCAGGGCATAGCAGAGGCTGCACAGCATGGAAATCCAGAGGGAAATGTGACAGGGGCACTGCACAAGGTCTTATAGAAACTTGCACAATCAAAGACCCTTCCAAGTGCATGTTCTGGTATGAGGTGTATCCTCTTGCAGAGCAATATCCTGCTGCTGCTGGTCCACACAGACTCTTGGATGTGGATATGTCTCAGAGGATGAGAAAAAAACCCTCTGATCCCTTCTCTCTGGTTCTCTCAGTGCTTTCACTCTGTGGGCTGTTCTTCAGCTTCAGTTTTGAATGAAGAGATCATCACTGAAGGCTCAGAAATTCCCTGCCATTTCTCAGATAATTTCAGTTCCCTGATCAGCACCTGGAACCATGCAAACCTTGCCTTACAGAGCTGCTGCTGTGTTGATTTCCCCTGAACTTTGTAGAAGATCACATCTCATACCTTGTACAATGCCGTATGTTCAATATTTAGTCTGGGCTCTAGCAACAGCAATAAATCCTGTGGAAATGCCACTGTCCTGTGTGTCACACCCAGAGGCATGAGTGCAGGCACATTTGGTGCTGATTTCCTGAGGACAATATCACTGCCATGACACTCCTGACACAGACAAGCCCATGGGATGGGATGTCTTATTCTAAGATCCTGGAGTGGTCCAATGCTGGTTCTTTTGAGTGAGGGCTATGAGCCAGTGAGGGGCTGTCCTTCTTGCTTTGAAACAAAAGAAGTGATTGTTTACCCACAAAAGCTTCCAAGAAAAATTAGGATTTATATCCCATGTCACTCACTGGCCAGGAGGAAGCACCACACTGGACAACCTCCATCTGTGTGATGATGGAAAGCTGGGGATGTTTTAGTTTTCCATCAGAAATGCAGACGCCAAGAAGTCTTTTCTAGTGAGTCACCCTTACACCTGTTCACCAACTTTTGGGGGCTCTAATTCATTCTCATTGACAGCAAATCATGTTCTTTACCACTCCTGAGTCAAATAGCAAAGCTTATCTCACCAAAGCCTGGGTCACCCTGAGAAGGTGAACAGGAACTCAGTGTGGCACAGAGGGGCAAAAAGGGACCTGGAAAGATCTGTACAGGGGATTTGGGAGAGGCCATGCATGGCAGACAGGAAAAGGTGGAGTTCTGGGGTTGTCCACTCAGTCGTGGAGAGCAGCCAGAGTCACAATCCTCAGTCCAAACGTCTTTTTGTAATTTGGTGCCAAAGCAGCCTCCTGAGAAGAGCAGAGCCTGCTCTGCCACTGGGAGGGAGGGGTCAGGGGGTGAAAGGGGTGACCTGACTCAATTAGCAGGTGTTTTACACCAGCTCTAACAGCTCTGTGTGAATTTGCCTTTTTTTTCTTGAACTTTTACAGAATCTAAGTTACCACTATGAATAAGGTTTTGTGTATGCTTGCTGCTGAATTTAAAAATATCCCACTGTTATTTCACCCGTGTCAGAGACTGGCTCCACAATCCGTACAACAAACATGCAAACTCTGCCCATCTGCTCACATTTCACTGAATCTGTGCTTTAAAAAGTGACTCAATGTGTTTGTAACAGCCTATAGAAACACAGGGCTTAAAAATGTTTTCAGAATTACTCATCGGGGAACCGAACAAATAGAAAATGCTTCATTAACATTCCCAGCATCAAAACCAGACAAAAACAAAATTCACTTTATTGGTTTAAGAGACCAAATTCTGCCCTAAGGAGCAGTAATGAAACCACATAATATTGTAACAGTGTCCCTTAAACTGTAGTTACTCTACAAGTTAGAAGACTCTGGACCACTAAGAATGAGAATAATCTGGCAAAATATAAACACCTACATCTCAGAACTTTGAACCCTTTGAACTCCTTTCTTAGTGAGTTTTAATGACTCCAGTCAGCAGAGTGGATTCCTCTCACGTCAAAGGGTAAAATTGGGATAAATTGATGAATCACACTCTACAAATCCCCAGCCCCCAGCTGGCGGGGATGAACCCAGGCCCATCTGTCATGAGCACCTCTTCAGTTGGAAGGGAAACACTTCCAGAACCTGCTCTCAGGTAAGGACAAGTTCTCAACTTGCTCACCACCATTGCCCTGAAGACATGAGGGTCACAGTAACAGCTCAAAACACAACAAGGTCCCATTCTAACCTGACATTGTTTATGATGACTTCTTCCCCTTTGCAAGGACTCTGCCTTCAGCAGTATCAGCTCAGGTGAGGATCACTCTGATATCTGATATGCATAAAGGGATGGCTGTGCTCCCATTCTCTCTTGCAGCTACATCTCATTTATGAGGACTTTGCTCTCATTCTCTTTTGCAGTTGTGGCCCACTTATCCCCAGCCCTCACTGCTCCAAGCTTCCTGTACCTCCAGCCCATGGAGCCCTCACCTTTCATCCCTTTCCTCTCAGAGACTGAAGTGGAAATTCACATTATATCCCACAAATTCACATTATCCACATTATCCACCCACTGTCCTGAAAAGTGCTTTTTCCTCAACATGCAGTGCTCTGGCACACCCACCCCAGCCCCTCATGGCTAATGAGCAAATTTGGTTTTAATGGTCCAGGTAGAATTATTGCACAGGCAGAGCTGAAATGCAGTTATATTACAGTCTCCAGCACTAGCCAAGCTGACAAAAAATTACGAAAAAAACAATAAAAGTAAATTGATGTTTCATGCCCAGAAAAACTCAAAGACATAAAAACAGAAAGAAAAAAAATCTTTCTCCCCTGGGCAGGATTCCAGGCCCTTTTGCAGATACAAACAGGAATTGAGGGAATACAGCATAGTTGAAGTATAGTCACAAGCTATCACTGAGATGGTGTGTGCAACCTGTAATTAAGGGTCTAATTATTTACCATGGACACTTGGGAGTGTCCCAGACCTGCCCATTGCACACACAAAGGTTCCTGGCTTCATGGGATTTTGAGGACTCTGGGCATTCACTCCAAGCCAAGACACAAAGATTATCACAAGCCAGAACACTTACACATCAGGACAGTCCTGCTGCTCCTCCAAACTTCTTGGAAGGAATTTGGGTGGAGCTTGCAAGTCTGAAGTGACCTGTGCCATGCAGCCTCTCCCAGGGATGTCACACAGTCCTTCTCAGTGCCATGCTCTGGGTGACAACGTAGTGTC